ATCCCCTTGCCAATGAAAGTCCGCATAGTCAAAGCTATGGTTTTTCCTGAAGTGACGTATGGAAGTGAGAGCTGGACCATAAAGAAAGCTAACCGCCAAAGAATTGATGCTTTTGAATTGTGGTACTGGAGGAGGTTCTTGAGAGTCCCCTGGACTGCAAGGAGAACTAACCTATCAATTCTAAAGGAAATCAACCCTGAGTGCTCACTGGAAGGACAGCTCCTGAAGCTAAGGCTCTAATACTTTGGCCATCTCATGAGAAGAGAAGACTCCTTGGAAAAGACCTTGATGTTAGGAAAGTGCGAAGGCAGGAGGAGAAGGGGACGACAGAGGATGAGATGGTTGGACAGTGTCATCGAGGTAACCCACATGAATTTGACACAACTCCGTGAGGCAGTGGAAGATAGGAGGGCCTGGCGTGCTCTGGTCCATGGGGTCACGAAGAGTCGGACACGACTAAACAATAACGATGCACATCATAACTTGTCTATTGTTTTGGCCTTATTTAGATGGATAGAAAAGGCAATAGTTTATTTATACTGTTTGCAATTCTTCTCTTTCCTTCTCTTTTCCTCCCCACACTGTGTCCTCACCATATTCTGTGTATCCTGTATGCCTTAAGTACTGTATGATGATGATGATTATTTCAGTGCTGGAAATGTTTTCCTCACAGTCTCAAATACAAATTGTTTTGGTTTATGAATAAACTACTAATAGAAGTCTGCCATCCAAACAATATGACTTCATGGTTTTTTTGTCTGTTTTGTGGCTTACATCAGTGGTCCCCAACTGTTTTAACTCACAGACCAGTTGGGGAAGGTGGGGCACCCCCACACACAATTGCGTGCATGAACTAAGAAGCGGGGGTGCTCATGCAGGCACTCTCACACATGTGCAAAGGGCAGGGGCGCTTGGGCGCTCATGTACATGAGCAAAGGGGCAGTGCGGGGTGGTAGTGCGTGTGAGTGGTGGGAGATCTGTCTCCACGGCCTGGCCTGGTCCTGGCCATGGCCCGTCAGCGGGCCGTGGACTGGGGTTTGGGGACCCCTGGCTTACGTGACATCTGAAAAACAAATGTTTTTATCTCCAGGGAATATATTTTAATTTCTGTTAATAAATTATTTCCCCCTATATGTGGAAATATATGTCATCCATCTTCACTGGAGTCTAAAACCAAATCAATATTTAACATGCAGCAGAATGCAGCTGTGTTACTGGTATGCTGGACTTAGAAGTACATACTTAAACCATTTTGTGTAATAACTCACATTATATTTCATTGCGAAGGGGCTTGCAACTGCTGCATAGTAGAAATGGTAGATCAAATAACGTGTTTTTATACACTTAATATAGTTTTAGCTATGCAACAATTATTCTATAATAGTTGAATATTTATCGAAACAAAATACTAAATACTTTGAATTAAGTTACTAATGAATGAGCAGAAAGATCTGAATTATAAATAATTTCGAAGTTAATACAGTGGTGCCTCGTATAACGAGTGCACCGTTGAACGATGAATCCGCATTGCAATGCGGATTTCCCCATCGCTAATGCGAGGGCACGCTTGCATTACGATGGGGCAACAGCTGTTCTGCGGCTCCAAAATGGCCACCGGAACACAAAAAATGGGTGCCGGTACACCCAAGATGGCCACCGGAACAAAAAAAATGGCCGATGGCACACCCAAGATGGCCGCCGGAACAAAAAATGGCCGCCGGAACACCCAAGATGGCCGCCGGAACAAAAAAATGGCCACTGGTACACCCAAGATGTCCGCCAGAACACAAAAAATGGGCACCGGTACACCCAAAATGGCTGCCAGGATGCTCAAAATGGCCGCCGGAACAAGGGAAAACATCGGAGAATGGTGAGTTTTGCGCCCATTTGGAACGCATTAAACAAAGGGTTTTTGATGCGTTTTACGATGTTTTCCCATCGCTATGCGGGGCACCACTATATATGCCTTTAGTATTATTACCTCTTGCTCTGGCAGAACTATAACTAGTTTCCATGTGTGAGCATAACACCATCTTATGATGGTCTCTGACGTTGCAACTGTTAGAAAGTATTTAATCTGCTTAAACAATAATTCCCTGTAGTGTAATGATTTATAACAACACTACAGCGATCTTGCAATTGATTAATATTCAGTGTTACTACTTTAGCATACATGAATCTGAATCAAGTTGGTAGAAGTACATTAAGGTGTATATAAAACAGAAAAGCAAAGAGATGCAACACAAGTGTTAATCCTACACATGTTTTTAATGACCACTGAAAAATTAAAATGAGCAGGTCGTATTTGATGACTTAATAGATTGATATAATTATCCTCCAATACTAGTATTATGAGCAATCTCAAAACAAATAGCACATTAAAATACACAGTAAAAGCTCAGTCGGTTGGGTGACTGGCTGCTATTACTAGAGGTTGAGAATTCAATTTACTACTGTGCTTGCAAAGAGAAGAGCTGACCTGAGGAGCCCTGGACAAGATGCACTGTCCTGAAGCTCCCACAAAAGAAGGAAATAGAAAACCACTTCTGAATACTGTGTACCTAAGAAAACCATGGAAAGGGTCACTGTAGGTCAGAATCTACTTCATGACATATTATTATTACTATAAAATTACAATAGTTATTTTAGAAACGAAAACTAACTTATGGGAATGTATGGGAATCTTTTGTATTTTGAGAAAGTGGCATGGGTCCCATCATAAAATGGCTATATTCACCTAAATTCATCATTAGAGATGGCCATGAACTGCAGTTTGGCACGTCTGCAGATCAGGCTCACATGTTTTGCATCGGTGTCCCGGATTCCCTTCCCTGCCTCCTTCTATGGATGCCCACTGAAAGGCAGCACCCCAGACTTCCCTGCCCCACCTCCTCCTCTGATTGGCATCTGCTGAAGGAGGCAGGTCAGGGAATCTGGGATACCTATGCAACAACTGTGGGCCCAATTGGCTGGAAGGGACCCTATGGATCTCTCTCAAAGAGGCACAGTGGGTTATTGAACTCTCAACCTCTGGTTCCACAGCCAGATACTTAAGCCACTGAGCTATCCAACCGTCTCAAGCATGACCACCAGAGTGGGACCACAACTGAACTACTCTCTTCCAGTTATAAAATAATATGGTCAAGTGTAGTTGGGTGTGGGAAACTTCTGCTCAAGGTTGTTAGCTACGTTCTGTTTCAGTGATGTGTACACACTCCTGGCAGAGAGTGGCGGCTCCCAGCAGGCGGGGTGACCTCTCACTCTGCCTTTTTGCTTAGAGCTAGAGCATTAGATCACAGGGTTTCTCCGGCCAATCCCAGTGGCAATTAGGTAACTAGTATCCTATCTGAATTCTCACAACATTCTATGTAATCGTTCTAAGTTAATAAAAAGAGTTTTGTTAAGCCTCCGCTGGCTTGGACATCTGTTTGTCGGCTTCTTCGCACTTTCTCTAAAAGCTAAATGCCTTCCCTTTTTTCCGTGATCACCTACAGTTGGGAACTGGGCGATTAGGGAACACATTGGTTGTAGTTCAAACTGGAACATTGTCACTGGTATTTGAAATTGCTACAAACTCTAATTTGTCCTGCTAGGGAATACATTACAGTAGTTGCTAGTTTTTAAAAATTATTTATTTATTCAATTTGTATCCTGATCCCATTCATCCTGTGGCACTACTCAGGATGGTTACAATACTTATAATAAAAAACAAAAGCAAAAACATTAGAACAAGAAGAGGAAAAAAGTATTATTTAACATACTCCTGATCGTTGATTAAGAGTTCTGACAAGGCCTTTCTTTTTATTATTTAGATATCTCTTACATGAATATTATGTAGTTTTCCACATTAATTGAGAAAGTATGCATTTGCTTGCTAGATTTTCTATCACAGTGTTTCAAATCATTCTATTTTATTTTATTGTTGGTTTTTTAAACTACGGATTATAAAATACACCAGAGAGATACTTAAGTTTACTGCACAAGAGGTCTCCTTAGGATTTATGGAGGAAATAAGCTTTGGCTATTTTAAAACAAGAAATATCTCATTAAAGGAGAGATTAAAAAGCTTATTGGCTTAACAAATTTAATGTTACAAATATACTGTACTACTATTGCTTGGAATGTTTTGTGAGCAACCAAATTAGATCATGTTATGCAAGTGTCATGTTACTAGATTAATCTGCATAGTGTGCTGAATAATCTCAGAATTTAAGAGGTACCTGGAATTCAGATATTTAATAGAGTGGGAGGTTATGAGAGGCAATTACTATGACCCAGCAACAGGTTCATTTACAAAATAGGTGGTGTTATTTATATATTTTTGGTAAATGAAGTTTCAGTAGTACAGAAATGCTAACAAAAATCAGATTAACTCATAAACAAAATGGAAACTGTGAAAATGAATAGTACTTTTGTTGTTTGCATCCTATCGATAAAACAAACAAAAATAATTTCTGTTCCTTTTCTATTTGGTGTTTTTTCACTTTTGAGTGTTTGGACCATAGAAATGCTGGCTTTGATATAACCAAGTGGTGTGCTGTAGCAGATATTCACTGCTATAAGAGATTAGTGCTAGGTTTGGACTTCAGTGAGAAAACTAGCAGCACTGTGGGTATATGTTTTATATGAAAAAGAGATGTAATAGAGTGAAAGAAAAAGAGCTCCAATCTTACAAGTTTTAGCAAGTTGATTTCTGGTGAATAGCACCAAGTTGGAAAATTCTGGATAGTACAAGAACTGTTACAGCCTATGGGTTTTATTGTTGATGTATGTTATTACTACTACTGTGAGTATTGTAAGAACAAACCTAATAACCTGTGAAAAAAATGACTTTAAGATTAAATTTCAAGTTTAGGAATTGCCAAGTAGTCTCATTGGGTAATATAGTACCGTATTGCCATCTGTGCATTTGTATTCATTGTGGGTTTACATACCATGAAGCATTTTTGTTCTCTAACATAGCTTTCTTTTCAGTTATATATTTGTTTCTTTATTCATAGTTTTGTCAACCTGGAGGATGGCATCTGTCCAGAGAGAGGAAGCAACCTACATTCTTTGTGGTAGTTTTGACAGATATAAACTCTGAACGGCACTACTGCTCTTGCCTGACATTCTATGAAGCAGAGATCAATTTGCAGGTAAATATCTTACATGAGAAATCACAAATAGTGCTATATTTAAAAAAACATTTATCATCCTCTGCAACATTGTTCTGTTCTTACAAGCTCTTTCATATTTGAGCATGTGCTCGTATTTCTTTGGTTTCTTCCATGAGCTACCTGACTTTTATACACCCAACTCCAATGCCCTCTTTTCCCACCCCCATCCTCTTCCCCTCCAATTTAGACTATGTAGTCCATTTACAATCTCAGGCTTATGGTTCTACTAGCCTTCTTAGTAATTATCTTGACTCTATGCAGTCTTTTTGCCAATAAGACAGTACAGGTTTTTGTCCACCTCTTTCCTTGTATCTTCAGTCAAAAGGCTTGTATTTAATACAATATTTTCATACACTGAAGTACTGATTTTTATTGTATTCCAGTTTCCTTATTTTTATGCTATGTTTAATATTGCTGATGCTTAGTGCCTTTCCCCTTAACATTGGTGGTGGTAACAGACATATGCTTATTTGAAATAAACATTCACATTATTTTTTAGCCTAAATGCTATGATGCTTCTCTTTCAAATCATCTGAGTATTCATAGAAAGCAGTTTTTTAACTGCTGTTTTATTTTGCATATCATACAAGTTCTTAATCATGTCTTGTTAGTTTTTTTTAAACATACTGTACTACTCCCTCTGCTGGATACCTGTATACTCAAAAAAGATAAAACTAGAGTTTTATTTTTATTTCTTTATTGTTGTTGTTGTTGTTGTTAGTAGCAATAGTAGCATGCTGCATTTCTCCCAACAAAGGGACCCAAGGCGGCTCACAACATTAAAATTCACACAATTAAAAAGACAATAAGTTAAAGATTAAAAAGGCAAATTAAACAATATATGATTTAAAATAAAATTAAAAGATTAAAACATGAAAACATGGAAAAGTTTAAAGTTGTTTGCTGAAATGGGGTTCAGGGATTCAGTTATAACTGTTAAAAGTCTGCCTGAAGAGATGGGTCTTTAGCTTTTTTCGGAAGGATAAAAGGGAAGCGGCCACCCTGATCTCCTGAAGGAGAGCATTCCATAGCCTGGGAGCTTCCACAGAGAAGGCCCTCTCCTGTGTCCCCATCAGCTGTGCTTGTGCTGGCAATAGGACTGAGAGAAGGGCCTCATCTGCTGATCTTAATTGCCAAGAAGACGCATTTAGGAAGATATGGTCCTTCAGGTAGCCTGGACCCAAGCTGTATAGGGCTTTATAGGTAATGACCAGCACTTTGCATTGTGCCTGGAAACGAACTGGTAGCCAGTGCAGTTCTTGTACCTGGTGCGTTATATGCTCCCTGTAACTCGCCCCAGTCAGTAGTCTGGCTGCAGAGTTTTGCACCAGCTGAAGTTTCCAAACGGTCTTCAAAGGCAGCCCCACATAGAGCATGTTACAGTAATCCAGATGGATGTAACTAAGGCATGTGTCACTGTAGCCAAATCCAACACCTCAAGAAATTGAATATATACTACAATGCAATGTAGTGGGAACCATTGTGGTGCTGTATTCTGTTTTCTGTTTTACACTGATAGTCATAAAAGAAAATACATGTAGATTTTCATGTTGTTCATGTTTGCATAATTACAAAATGCACCTTCTTTCCATACTGTTTGTTTGCTTAATCATTTTTGGATTTAAAATGCATTTTTTGGAAATCCCACATGCATAATTAGGTCTATGAATGCATTCCCTAAAATAGAAAAGTTAGGTTAGATTTTGGGTGTAACCTGTTTTAAAATACGTGTCTTACTAATATTTGGACCATTCAAATTAGTTTAGAAATAGTTGCTGAAGTAATTCATCCAAACTGGAAAATCAGAATAATTTATCTATGACACATGATTTGGAATCTGTCACAGGGAGAATCTAGGGACCAAGAAAGTGCATTGCAATTGTGAAATTTTGTTATAATGTTGGAAACCACATCTTCCAACTCTGGTTCTTGACTTAAATCCAAAGTAGTTTCCTTCTAGTTTTGTCCAGTACAGTGAATTTTCACAATATAAAGTGCCCCACATTTTGTTAATAGCAGTCTGCTCATATGATATTGAACAGTTTCAGATAATGATATATGTTTACATATATAAATTTAGAAACTTACTTAAAAGCCCCATAGATTAGGACAACAGTTTCATGGTCTCCCTGTTTAGATAATAAAGCCAAGGTGATAGTTTAGCTTAGTACATTCCATGTATCAGAGGTCTGGAGACAGTTAAACTAAGGGAAAGAATAAAGAATAATGTAACATAATATGCAGTAATAGGCTTTTATTGCCAATATTTACTTCTCTTTTACAGTCATGCCTATCTGTTTTATTTATGTTTATGTCTATGTTTGTGTATATCTATATAGATATAATTGCCAACTCAGAATGGCATTCCATGCAACTGATGAAGTGGACTCTGGCTCAAAAAAAGCTTATGCCATAATAAATGTAAATTTGTCCTTCCTGGTCATTAACTGTAATAAATACGTATTAATAATAGTAAATTTACTAGAGTCCAGAAAACTGCTTCGTTTTAACAGGTACCTGCCCCTTGTAGAATGGCACAATGGACAAAATCCTGTTGTGTAAAGTTACACTGGTATGAACCAATCCAATGCCAGAAATAGCTAATTGAAATTATATGAAAGCTTCTTTTTCTCCCCCTTTTATGTCCTGGGGCTCCCTAGAGCTCCCATTTGCTCTGGGGAAGTTTTGGGAGCCTCAGGATGGTGGGAGAACCTATAATAGTAAAAAATCATTGCCAGATTGCTGCTGCCAGGATCAGGACCACCGTTGGCAAGCCAGTGATAATTTTTACTATTACCTCCCCCCAAAAAAGTTTCCATAAGCTTCTCCAGAGCAAAAGACAGTCCTAGGGAGCCTCAGAACTTGAAAGGGGGAAGAATAAGAAGCTTTCATATAGTTTAAATTACATATTTAAAGGACATAAACTGTGCATTAATGGAGGGTGGGACACTTGCCTGAGTAAATATTACAAGTGAGAAGGATCTTGGAATGGTTGTACATTGCAAGCTGCATATGAGCCAACAGTATGATGTGGCTGAAAAAAAAGGCAAATACTATTTTAGGATGGATTAACAGATGTCCTAGAATACTGTGTCCAGTTCTGGACATCACACTTGAAAAAGGATGCCAACAATCCGGAACAAGTTCAGAGGAAGACAAGACAATGATCACGGGACTGGAAATCGAGCCCTATGAGGAAACACTGAAAGAACTACTCATGTTTAGGCTTGATGAAAAAAGACTGAGGGCAGATAGGATAGCACTTTTCAAATACCGTACTTGAAAGGTTGTCATACAGAGGAGGGGTAGTATCTGTTCAAGTTAACAGGAAGCCAGATTTTGGTTGAATATCATGAAAAACTATTAAAGCAGAATGACAATAGAAACAATTACCTCATGAGATGGTGAGCACTCCAACACTGGAGGCATTCAAGAGGAAGTTAGACAACCATCTGATCTGCTTTGATTTGGATCCATGCACTAAAGAGGGGTTTGGACTCAGTAGGCCTTATGGGCCTCTTCCAACTCAATTATTCTGTGATTCTGTGATTTCTGTTGCTTTACACAGATTAATTTTGTGCCAGCAGGATTTTGCCGAATGATTTAAATGCTTTTGTTTGAAACTCTTTAGGAGAATTTTGTGCATCAATACAGTTGTAATGTAACTAGCCGCCTAGAGTGGTCACAATGACCAGATAGGCGGAGTATAAATAAAATAAATAAAATAATTAGGAAATTAATTTCCATCAGAAAAGTCTGTGTTATTTCTCCATGTATTTGGACTGTAGTATATTTTCCCATGGTTATCCCATGGGTGTTAGGCACATTTTGTTCAATCAGAAGAATGAGAGGTTTGTTGTGAGGGGTTTTCTTTTTGGTTGTGTGTGTGGGTGTGGGTGTGTGTAGTAATTTAAAATGTCTGTGCCTTTGCAATACAGAGCAGAGGTGACCACTTCAGACTTAACTTTCTCACAAAACATCACGGGGGATAAGCTGATTTCACCAACGAATGTCCAGGACTTGAGGAGACTTCTCCACTCAACCTTGCCTTCATTTTTTTCCTGATGTTTCTCCAGTTGTCTCATCTTTGTTCAGCAGGCTATTTCCAAAACATGAGGGGAGAGAATTTTTCCCTCAGAGATGCAGAAAACATGTTGGAGATGGGAATGGAGGTCAGCCCTTGTTCATGTCTCTTGTACATTTTGTTGGTCTCCAGATTATTGACCCTATCATTCAAAGCTGCACTGCTTTCTTCCTGCTTTGGAATATATATTTTGAAGTAACCCTTAACGCATGATTTTCGCTTGTTGTTGTTTTTAAACCTGTTTGTATAAAACTTTTTATCAACTCTAGAATGGAAGAAGAAACAGAAAAATACGCAGGATTCTTTGCAGTTTTCCTATCTGAAAGACACAGACACACCCATATACAGGGAGATCTGAGGAAACCAACTGTCAGTTCAGCACTAGGTCATTTCATAAACTGAAAAAATAAAGGGGGCTGCTAGGGAAGAGGCCAAGGATAATAGCAGGAGGGATGTGAGTACCGGGGGGGAAAATATAACTAATTTGTGCCTCTTCTGTGTGGGCAGCTGTACTGCACTTTCTGCATTCATCAATTGGATGTACGTGTGTGTGTGTGTGTATGTGCAAATAATTTTCAGTAAAAAAAACAATAAATATAGAAAACATTACTAATGTATCAACTTTTAAAAATAAACAAAGCCAGAATTATCAACTCTGTGCTATCCCCCAACCTTGGGACTAGTTTTCATTTTCATTTTTCATTATATTTCATACTGCTCCATTTTTCTCCAGAAATACAGTGATACATCTCAAAGTGCATACCCTTTCCCTTTCTGGAATACATATACCAAAAATGAATTCCATATTTCTTTAAGGTCATTAATGTACAATGGCAAAGCAAAAAATCAAAGCTCCTTTTCTAATCTTGGTTTCACAGGTTAATTTGTCCACTTA